TATTATATCCCAGTGTAATATTTGGCTTTTAACTTCAGCAGTTAGAGACCCAACCTTCTAGATCAGCAAAAGCAACATGGGTTAAGACATGAACAAGGCTTGTCCATGCCAGAAGGAATACAAGCGCCCCCTTTCACAGTCTTAATGAAATCATTAATTATGTCAGCAACTCAAGCGATAGATCTCCAAACACTTCACACGGCTCAAGCAACAGAGCAGTCCCAGAAACCCTGGAACTTCCAGAGAAGGGTTTTCTTACACGGATGTGTCCTAACCACAAATAAAAGTACAGTTCCATAGCTTTCAGATTCAACTAATTTTTGCTTTGCGCTCTCATAAAAGAAATCAACTGGTGTTTTAACCAAGAAAGTTGACTGCCTACATGCATCCTGTAATGGTGCCATGATGCAATCGAGGCTAACTTCTTGGATCTGAAAATATACCACACATCACATTAAGGCTAGTTCTTCAATAGTCTGCTTTCATTTTAGTTAACATTTACTCTGAGCTCCTTTCCAACATTTAAAGGTAATTCTTAGCACCTTCCAGCACCATTTTTCTCGACATAAACATTCACACATGTTTACCTTCTTGGAGCCTTTGCTAAAAAAAAGATGGCCCTCTCTATGTATAGGCCAGTATCTGAACTTAAGGGAGGGGAGTCGGGAATTCAAGGAAGGAACATTTCCAGCTAGTGTGGAGGAAAACTGCCAACTATATTTTTCAATTATAATTTTTAAAAAATGGAGAGAAAGCTCATTCTTGCTCATAAATTTAGCTCAGAAATATGAGTTGTGTAACTTTGAGTGTCAGGTTAATATTACCTGGTGTGCCTAACAGACTATTCTTTTTACATTGTACAAGTTGCCACCTCCCTTTTCCATATCAGTGCAAGGCACAGTCAGAGTATTTCTGATTACACAAAAGGATAAAAATGGTGTGGCAACAGGGTGGACCAGATTTTTTTTAATTGTCATTATTATATTAAAGTATTTGGAAAACACATAAATTGCATGTTCAACATTACATTTCAGCAGCTGCAGCAGTTCTGGGTGACACAACTGCTCCAGAACATCAAGCACTCAAGGACAACATCAGGCTTGTTTTATGATACATTATTTGGTTTAGTAAGTCTGCACCCTGTGCTACATTGCATAGGATTACAGTGGTGTCAGAGGCCTCCAGGTCACAAGCTCTATCCTAGTCAATATAGTAAGTTCTCCATAGACTTCCAAACAAAAGCTGGGGAATAGAATCAAATGCTAATATCTGTGTACAGATGCCTTATCTGGGTTCCAGTGCTATGGATGAATAATGGAAAGTGATTATTTTCCCAAGGAAAAGCAGGAGATTAGTGTAAAAACTAAACTAATGCCACAGCCTAATTCTTGATTAAGTAATGACACAGCAGATTGGTTCATGCAAATCTGTCTTCCCCCTTTCCAACTGGGAAACTCCATTAAGATAAGGGAACCAGGCCTAGGATTAAGGAGCTAGTAAGGTGAGCCACTGATGCTCAAGATGTCAATATTTATTCTTGCCACCTCATTTTTGACCACACCCAACTTACCCAAGTTCATGGTTCTTGCATTCCAGGTTCCTATGCAATATTTTTCTTTACAGAATTGGACTTTCCTTTCGCTTACAGGCATATCCGCAACTGACCGACCTTTCTGCTTTGGCCCAGCCACTTCATCAGCTCTGGATCTACTTGTACTTGTCCTCCACAGTATGTTGGACGCCTTCCGACCTGAGGGGCTCATCTTCCAGCGTCATAACTTTTATATGCCTGTTGTCTTTGTCCATGGAATTTTCTTGGCAGGGATACTGGAGTGGCTTGCCGGTTCCTGCTCCAGGTGGATCACGTTTGGTCAAAACTCTCCACTATGACCTGTCCATCTTGGGTGCCCTGCTCGGCATAGTTCATAGCTTCTCTGAGTTATTCAAGCCCCTTCGCCACGGCAAGGCAGTGATCCATGAAGGAGAGCTCAAAATATGGTTTGAAGCTCAACATCAAAAAAATGAAGATCATGGCCACTGGTCCCATCACCTCCTGGCAAATAGAAGGGGAAGAAATGGAGGCAGTGAGAGATTTTACTTTCTTGGGCTCCATGATCACTGCAGATGGTGACAGCAGTCACGAAATTAAAAGACCCCTGCTCCTTGGGAGAAAGGCGATGGCAAACCTAGACAGCATCTTAAAAAGCAGAGACATAACCTTGCCAATAAAGGTCCGTATAGTTAAAGCTATGGTTTTCCCAGTAGTGATGTATGGAAGTGAGAGCTGGACCATAAAGAAGGCTGATCGCCGAAGAATTGATGCTTTTGAATTATGGTGCTGGAGGAGACTCTTGAGAGTCCCATGGACTACAAGAAGATCAAACCTATCCATTCTTAAGGCAATCAGTCACTTTTCTCCAGAGTTGTTAATAGAACTAGATCTCAAACACACACACACACATTTTCATGCTGCCTCACTGGTACTTACAATCAATTAATTTTCAATTCGTGGGTTGGGGGTGGTGGGTACCCTTCCATGGAAGCTACATAAAGTGAATAATTCATGTCTGAGTTTATTCTTTCATCCAGCTCCCAAGAGACCTTATATGAAGCAGCATTTGCAGTCGCTAAACACTTGGGATCCATATGGGTTTAGCTCAGGCCCACACTTTGAGTATCACCCTTTATCTGTATTTGGTCAGTGTAATCAGCTGGGAAGGGTGCAATGATACACTGGGAGTCTCTCGGAATTGAATGTGCTATATCTCGCAAGCACTGAGCAAACCCATAGTGATATCACTGTCCACTGATCTAGGATCACCCATCTGGCTCTAATAAAATTCTGTTACCGCCCCATGACTTTCCCCATTTCACTTCCTGCTCCTACCATGGAAAATCTTGCCAATGGGAACCATAAGAAATTCTTCCTCTCTAGCCCTTCCTCCCAGTCCTAGGCTCATAGAAAGCAGTCTCCTTGGATTCTAGTTCATGCACCTATGTTGCAGACTGCGATTTTCATGATGCAAAAACATATGCACCTCTTAGGCTTAAGAAGTTGGGCATCCAGCCCTTGAAGTAAATCCTGTATATCAGCTCCATCATTCCTTGGAAATATGTTTTAGATCAGAGTTGCAATCTGATCCAATCCACAGAGTGTGTGAACAATATCTATGCTTAGTAGCTTACAGGACTATTTTTAATGACAGATTAAGTAGCATGGTAATACTGATCCTATCATTACCTAAAGAAAGCTATCAGCATACACACCCTGTACATATACTCAGTCCCAGTGCTATTTTTTTAGAAAAAGAGCTGCTGGAGCTCACCCTTGTTATCTTAAAATGGCAATGGCACCCACTTGAAAGATGCCAGAGCTGAGCTCCAGCTGAAAAAAAGCCTTGCTCAGCCCTTCACACAATGATTAAGCCTTAACATTAAACACTGCTACTCTTCCTCCATACCTGTTTGGTCTTTTCCTTCTGAACATATAATAATAATAATAATAATAATAATAATAATAATAATAATAATTTATTATTTATACCCCGCCCATCTGGCTGGGCTTCGCCAGCCACTCTGGGCGGCTTCCAAAAAAATATTAAAATACTATAATACATCAAACAATAAAAGCTTCCCTAAACAGGGCTGCCCTCAGATGTCTTCTAAAAGTCTGGTAGTTGTTGTTCTCTTTGACATCTGATGGGAGGGCGTTCCACAGGGAAGGTGCCACTACCGAGAAGGCCCTCTGCCTGGTTCCCTGTAACTTGGCTTCTCGCAGTGAGGGAACTGCCAGAAGGCCCTCGGAGCTGGACCTCAGTGTCTGGGTAGAACGATGGGGGGTGGAGACGCTCCTTCAGATATACTGGACCAAGGCCGTTTAGGGCTTTAAAGGTCAGCACCAACACTTTGAATTGTGCTCGGAAACGTACTGGGAGCCAATGTAGGTCTTTCAAGACCGGTGTTATGTGGTCTCTGCGGCCGCTCCCAGTCACCAGTCTAGCTGCCGCATTCTGGATTAGTTGTAGTTTCCGGGTCACCTTCAAAGGTAGCCCCACGTAGAGCGCATAGCAGTAATCCAAGCGGGAGATAACCAGAGCATGCACCACTCTGTTTTTTTTAAAAAATAATATTTATTATTTTCCCAAAAACTTAAACACTAAAAAGACAATACACTACAACACATCAAATTAACAAAACAAAACAAAAACAATAAAATAAATCAAACAATTTCATTATCCCATGTTTCATTCACTTATTTCCACGGCCTCCTCACACCTCCCTTTTTGTATTCCACTTTTATTAATTATTTCAGCAATTCCTTTCCATCTTTCTCTGTTTTCTATCCTATAGTTATCTTAACTCATTCTATTTTTTTTTTTATTATTATAATTTTTTAATTGGTTTTTCACATTTTATACAGACATAACACACACGTAAAAGACAAAAACAAAAAACATGTATAATTTCAAAAATCTTACTTTCTTAACTTTGGTCCTTGACTTCCCCCCACCCCCCCTTCATACATCCCATTTCCCATAATTATGTCAGCAAGTTATTATTTTACCTCCTTACCCTGTTAACATTACATCTTTTGTAGAAGATTAAATTCTATCCTAAGTTGGGCTCAGATTCCCTTCCATCGATTTCCCATTTTTTTATTAAGCATCAATCATATTGACTAGACCCAAAAATCGTAAGTGTTTTTAAAATTCTATTTTCCCCCCCTCCCATCCCCGGTTCGTCCCTTCCCAAGTACATTTCTACAATAACAGTTCTTAGCCTGGATTTCTCACATCCGAGGCCTTCAAGTCTCTTTCAGTCCCTCTCCGCCGGTTTTGTTGGTAGTCCTTTATGTTGGTCTTCGGATCTCGAAGGAGTTCTGTCCCAGTCAAGCCAGATTTTCTTCCCACAAGAAAACTTAGAGACAACTGCTGCAAAAGTTCCACCAGTCCTTCATATTCAGAATGGAGGCCCCCATCATATTTCTTCTTTCTTTTAAGTTATTGAATTCCAAGTACTCCAGGGGCCTCCTCCTTCATCTTTCGCATCTTTTGCAGATTTGTAATCCATGTAATCCAAGGGTCTTCTTGTTTATAATCCACATGTGTAGGCTTCTGGTTGGTACTTTCCATCTGTGCTTTCTCCTTTCCTTGTTTAGTCTCCTTCAATTCTTGAGATATCTGTTCCGGTTCAGCTGCAGATTTTTTCTCATTCAGATCCTCAATACATTCAGCAGAGCTGCTTATTCCAGAAGTCAAGGTCGTAAGTTGTTTATTCATAGCCAGACTCTGCTCTTGTAAAGATCCCACAAAGTAACACATTCTTTCTATTTCAGCTAGTAAATTTCCATCCGCAGCCATTGTAATGTCTCAGAATTCCCCTAGAGGGAATCTGGTTACTTAGTAATCTTTTCCCAACAGTCCTTTGCCTCGTTCTTTGTTTCTTTGTTTCGAACCACTTTAATTCAATTGTATCACATTTAGTCCAGGGAGATCTTAAATAACACGCTTTTTTACTTTAAATTGCCCGTTTGACAGCTGTTAAAGCTGTCAAACTCCTTTCCTCTTCAACAGGCTCAAAGGCAGGACGCTCCCGGGCCCGGAAGGGGGGGGTTACACACCACAAGAGAAAAAACTTCTAAAATTCCACTCTTACACTCCAGCTCAAAACTTCTTTTATCAAATCGTGAAAGTTAATGTCTTTCAACTCACCCCAAAGGGGTAGACTCTCCAACTTAGTTCTCCTGCTATTGCTTTAAATCGTCTGCAGAAGGGGGGGGTGCGGACTTCCCTTTAACACATCCCCCGGTCGTATCAAATTCACAAATAGATATTTTAAAGTCCGAATTCCAATCTACTCACGGGTTGCTTCTTTTCGAGTTCCGAATTTAAGGAAAAAAGTCAGTGCTCTTCAGCCATGGCACACGGCTCCGCTCCGCTGGGGTAGCGGTCTACTCCCAGCACCACGCCGCCTTCCGTACCCTCTCCGTAGCCTTTAAAAAGGCTCTTCGTGGGTCGGGGGGGGCGCTTAAGGTGCCCACCGAGTCACCAGGTCCGCAGGCATCCGCGCCTGCGGTTTTTGAGGGTCTCCGCGTCGCCGTCGCGGCAAGACCCGTCCCCAGCGGAGCCGATTCCCTCCAGAGCTCGGAGAGAATCCGCCATTAGCTGTTCGCACCAACCCGGAAGTTATCTTAACTCATTCTAACCTTGTTTCCTTTAATGCTCTGTTAACGTATCTGTACTTAATTCCTTATAACATTTCTACTAAAGCCATATAACTTCATTCCAACATTTTTCTAACATTCATTAATTTTACAGTATTTCTGTAGATAGTCTTTAAATTTTTTCCAATCTTCTTCCACCGACTCTTCTCCCTGGTCTCGGATTCTGCCGGTCATTTCCGCCAGTTCCATATAGTCCATCAACTTCATCTGCCATTCTTCCCGGGTGGGTAAATCTTGTGTCTTCCAATACTTCGTGATGAGTATTCTTGCTGCTGTTGTACATACATAAAAAAAGTTCTATCCTTCTTTGGCACCGATTGGCCGACCATGCCCAGGAGAAAGGCCTCTGGTATATTTAAATACCTTTTTCATTTCATTATAAATCATCTCCCAGAATGTCTTAATCCTTGGGCATGTCCACCAAAGGTGAAAGAATGTGCCTTCAGTCTCGTTACATTTCCAACATTTATTTTCGGGCAAATGGTAAATTTCTGCAAGCTTGACTGGTGTCATGTACCACCTATAAATCATTTTCATTAAGTTTTCTCTTAGGGCATTACATGCCGTAAATTTCATACCAGTGGTCCATAACTGTTCCCAGTCAGCCATCATTATGTTATGACCAACATCTTGTGCCCATTTAATCATAGCTGATTTCACCGTTTCATCCTGAGTATTCCATTTCAACAGCAAGTTATACATTTTTGACAAATTCTTAATTTTTGTATCTAGCAATTCTGTTTCCAATTTTGATTTTTCCACCTGGAAACCAACTTTTTTGTCCAAATTGTATGCCTCCATTATTTGATAATAATGGAGCCAATCTCGCACTTTATTTTTCAATTTTTCAAAGCTCTGCAATTTTATTCTGTCTCCATCTTGATCCAGAATTTCCCAATATTTCGGCCATTTGGCCTCCATATTGAGTTTTTTTCTGTGCCTTCGCTTCCATTGGTGACAACCATCTTGGGGTTTTCTTTTCTAACAAATCTTTATATCTTATCCATACATTAAACAATGCTTTTCTAACAATATGATTCTTAAACGCTTTATGTACTTTTACCTTATCGTACCACAAATATGCATGCCAACCAAATACATTATTGAAACCTTCTAGATCCAACACGTCGGTGTTTTCAAGAAGCAGCCATTCTCTCAGCCAGCAAAAAGCCGCTGATTCATAATAAAGTTTGAAGTCTGGCAGGGCAAATCCACCTCTTTCTTTAGCATCAGTTAATATCTTAAATTTTATTCGAGGTTTCTTGCCCTGCCAAACAAATCTGGAAATATCTTTCTGCCACTTCTTGAAACAATCCATCTTATCCAAAATTTGTAATGTTTGGAACAAAAACAGCATCCTTGGCAGCACATTCATTTTTATCACAGCAATTCAGCCTAATAGTGATAACTTCAAATTTGACCATATTTCTAAATCCTTTTTCACTTCAATCCAACATTTTTGATAATTATCCTTAAATAGGTTCACATTTTTAGCAGTCATGTTAACCCCTAAATATTTCACTTTCTTAACCAGTGTTAGTCCTGTCTCTTCCTGAAACTTCTCTCTCTCATTCACAGTTAAATTTTTCTCTAAGATCTTAGTTTTCGTCTTATTCAGCTTAAAACCTGCTACTTGTCCAAATTCTTGAATCAGTTCCAATCCCCTTTTTGTACTGGATTCTGGCTCCTGTAAGGTCAATACTAAATCATCAGCAAATGCTTTCAGTTTATACTGTTTAGCTCCCACTTGTATAGCTTTGACCTCTTGGTCCTTTCTTATCATGTTTAACAAAACCTCAAGGACCGATATAAAGAGCAGTGGAGAGATTGGGCAACCTTGTCGTGTCCCTTTCTCAATCTTAAACTCTTCTGTCACTACATTGTTCACAATTAATTTTGCCTTTTGTTCTGAATAAATTGCACCTATACCATTTTCAAAACCTTGACCTACCCCCATCCCCTGTAGATTCTTCTTCATAAAGCTCCAGGAGATGTTGTCAAAGGCTTTCTCCGCATCCACAAATATCAAGACAGCCTTAGTATTGATATTCACTTGAAGTTTTTCTAGAATATTAATTATATTCCTCATATTGTCAGACAAATGTCTGCCCGGGAGAAAACCCGCTTGATCTTTATGAATTTCTTCTACTAACACCTTTTTTAATCTTTTAGCCAAAATATCTGCAAAAATTTTATAATCCACATTTAGCAGCGATATGGGGCGGTAGTTCTTGGGCTGTGTCTTTTCAGTCTCTGTTTTCGGTATAAGTGTAATGTAAGCTTCCTTCCACGACTCTGGTGCCTTTCTCCCTTCCAATATTTCATTGCAGACTTCCTTCAATTGTTGTATTAACCATTCTTTCAAAGATCTGTAATATCTTGAAGTCAAACCATCTGGTCCTGGAGATTTACCTAATTGTGTGTTCTGGATAGCCCCTTCCACCTCCTGATCCGTTATTTTGTAATTCAACATTAGCTGTTTTTCCTGAGAGATTTTGTGTAGTCCATTTATTTTCAAAAATCGATCAATGTCCATTTCTTTTTGCTTCTCCTGTGTATAAAGTTGTTTAAAATACCTCTGGAAACACTTCCTGATCTCCACTGGGTTCTGTATATTTTTTCCTTCCACTTCCAAAATTCATAATAGTATTGAGTTTTCGTCTTTTTTTCATTTGCCAGGCCAACAATTTCCCACATTTACAGAGCATGCACCACTCTGGTGAGGCAGTCCGCAGGCAGATAGGGTCTCAGCCTGCATACCAGATGGAGCTGGTAAACAGCTGCCCTGGACACAGATTTGACCTGTTCCTCCATGGACACCTGTGAGTCCAAAATGATTCCCAGGCTGTGCACCTGGTCCTTCAGGGGCACAGTTACCCCATTCAGGACCAGGGAATCCTCCACACCTGCCTGCCTCCTGTCCCCCAAAAACAGTACTTCTGTCTTGTCAGGATTCAAACTCAATCTCTTAGCCGCCATCCATCCTCCAACCGCCTCCAGACACTCACAAAAGACCTTCACTGCCTTCACTGGTTCTGATTTGAAAGAGAGGTAGAGCTGGGTATCATCCGCATACTGATGAAACCCAGCCCAAATCCCCTGATGATCTCTCCCAGCGGCTTCATGTAGATGTTGAAAAGCATGGGGGAGAGGACAGAACCCTGAGGCACCCCACAAGTGAGAGCCCAGGGGTCTGAACACCCATCCCCCACCACCACTTTCCGAACCCGGCCCGGGAGACGGGGCGGAACCACTGTATGACAGTGCCCCCAGCTCCCAGCCCCTCAAGATGGTCCAGAAGGATGTTATGGTCGATGGTATCAAACGCCGCTGAGAGATCCAGCAGAACTAGGAAACAGCTCTCACCTTTGTCCCTAGCCTGCCGGAGATCATCAACCAGTGCGACCAAGGCAGTTTCAGTCCCATGATGAGGCCTGAATCCTGACTGGAAGGGATCCAAATGGTCCGCTTCTTTCAGGCATGCCTGGAGTTGTTCAGCAACCACTCGCTCAATCACCTTGCCCAAGAATGGAAGATTTGAGATTGGGCAATAGTTGGCCATTGTGGCCACGGTGGAGTCTACCTCTTCTCGAAACTGAGCAACTTTATCTGCAAAAAACTTTGCAAAATCATTGCAGGAGATCATGTGGCCCGTACTGGGCCCTGATCGAGCAGGTGGTTCCGCTAAATTGCGAACCACCTGAAAGAGTCTCCTGCTGCTGTTTTCCGCAGATGCAATAGAGGCGGTGAAGAAAGTCTTCTTCACCGTCGCTATCGCCACTTGGTAGGCTCGACATTGAGCTCTAACCTGTGTCCGGTCAGCTTCAGAATGGGTCATCCGCCACCGGCGCTCTAGCCGTCTCAACGATTGTTTCATTGCCCTCAGATCTATGGAAAACCATGGGGCTGTCTGGGCTCCATGCAATCGGAGAGGGCGCTTCGGAGCCAAACAGTCAATACCCCTGATTAACTCCACATTCCAGCAAGCCAGCAGGGAATGAGCTGAAAGGCCATCAACATGGGACAAAACATCCCCTACTACTCTCTGGAAACCAT